ACAAACCAATACATCAGTAAAATAATATGACATCACTATTCACGTTACAGCGCTCTTTATAGAATGAATTGCATATGTACACTAAATCTAAGAGCTCAGTGAGTAGTATTTCGTAGTACTTTAGTTCCATATTAAAGGTGGCTAGACTGGATTTTTTGGGGGATATACCGTTTAAGTTTGAGCATTCCACATTCCCATTAAAAAAAGGTATCTCAAAAAGGAAACCCCAGCTGTATCAAATAAAGATGGGAACACACAGATCGAGGCTTTGCATAAAATTTTCTTTACACATGATTCCATCTTGGTACCTTAGAGATTTCACAGGAATGGAATCGCTGGTGGATTCAAAGCGTTTTGAAGTACTAGCCGGTGGGGCATTTTACCATCTAAACTGCCAACATACCGGGGGAATTTGACAAACGTTTTTCCAATAAGGTTAAATAAGAGGTCGCTAGCAAGAGCTTTGAATGTTTCATAATCAGTATGAAGACGAAAACCACGCCAGACTCACGTGTTGATTTCGCTGCCGCTTGACGATCACGGTCAATGACAGCCACACTGTACTTACCTAATTCTCGTTGTCTCGTTGTCTTCTACCATTTGTAACTGGATGACTTTAAGGATTAAAAAAAAAACACTATTTAGAACAGAACGTATGGACAAAATGCGAATATAAAAATCACATCCTCATAGAATTACCAATAACCTCGTGCGTGTTGTTGTCTGACGCGACCAGTGAGCCAAAGGAAGGAGAGGTACAACTTTTTTTGTCGAAAATAAGTTAAACCGACTTCCAGAAACGCCGATAAAAGAAAAACGAATTCTTCAAGGTTATTTTAGAACAGTTGAGGCCAAAATATGTTCCACCGAAAACAAATGCTCGCAATCGCAACAAGTTCGAAGAGATTCTAGTTTCTAAGCTACTAAGTGGGCGGGGCTGGTACTGTCCATCATGCATCACAGCTGTCCCACGAGTTGTAGAGCCAAAAAGTGTACGTGGCAGTTGATTTTTTGTTTTTGTTTTTTTTTCTGTAAGTTTTTCGTTAGTCTTGGTTCGTCAAAGTAAGAGATACAACCACGCGCTGAATCGAGAACGAACGGTAAAACGATGGGAGAGGGGCGAGGGGAGGAAGAAGTAGAAAAATTACCGGTAAACCCGCCCAGTAACCGACTTTGTCTGGCCGTGGATAACTGGTAATTGACCTTCGCTCAAACATAAACCTCCAAAACAAGTTTTCCTTTGGAAGCAAGCAAGCAAGCTGTTTCTGAAAGAAAAATATTTCTAGGAAAGGAAAAAAATGATTTTTCACGATAACATAACCAAAAATAACTTAGCGCGTGAGACTTAGTTGTGTCTGCAAAACACAATTTTCATTGCGATTTATGAAAGCGGACAAGACGTTCGGCTTTCGTTCAAAAAATTCAGTTGGAGCCCAATAATATAATGCAATCCAATTTGCGATAGACGAATTCACTCTTGAGTAATGAGTGGAAAGCACAAATAAAAAAATTGACAACAAAAAATCTTTGGCGCTGTTAACGGTTGTCAAACTTGGGCGCTTTCCATTTAGAAAAAAAACCCGGAAAAGCCGATTGGTAAAAAGTTGAATTCCATTTGTTGTTCCATTTGTAAACCCGGTACATGGCGGTGCCCGACCGTGGACCTGGAACTGGTACAAACTACGAGAAACGTAAATGGAACACGAGATTCCGTTCGAAATTCCAACCGGGAAAACGGGACCACCTTTTTAGATTTTCCACTTTTTCTGGGAATTTTCCAGTGGGACGAACCGACGAAACGTGTTCCATTTACCGCCGAACCGGAAATTCCGGAAATTTTGAGTAAATGGAAAGCGCCCCTTGTCACTGACCTTTAAGACTTGACTAAAAGCTAACAGTAGTTGAAGTAGGGAAGTAGGAAATCCGAACACACACAAAAAAAATTTTAGGTGATAAAAATATGCTTATATCTACCGTTTTAACACTAAAATACGTTTAACCATGCTATGCTTAAGGGGTTTTGAACCATATTCTTGGGTGCCCCTGAAGTTTTAGACGGAGGGAGTAGTAACCTGGGAGATCGTTATGCGTAGAAGGTGAGGTAACCCGCTTAGGTGGGGCCAACTATGATATAATCTCTCATTTCAATTTGATCACGTTTACATCAAAGGTGGGGTGACGCCACCTTCCTGGGTCCCCCAACTCTATGTTAACAGGCCCCAAATTAAAATTAAAGCGAAAATACCATTCACTTCGCCTCTTCTTGAGACCAAGTGGTTTTCGTTGCCGCTTGACGATCACGGTCAATTTATGGAAGAATGATATGACAGCCACACTGTACTTACCTAATTCTCGTTGTCTCGTTGTCTTCTACCATTTGTAACTGGATGACTTTAAGGATTAAAAAAAGCACTATTTAGAACAGACCGTATGGACAAAATGCGAAGATAAAAAATAACATCCTCATAGAATTACCAATAACCTCGTGCATGTTGTCGTCTCAGACGCGACCAGAGAGCCAAAAGAAGGAGAGGAACAACTTTTTTTGTCAAAAATAAGTTAAACCGACCTCCAGAAACGCCCATAAACTAAAAACGAATTCTTCAAAGTTATTTTAGAACAGTTAAGGCCAGAATACGTTCCACTGAAAAAAAATGCTCGCAATCGCAACAAGTTCGAAGAAATTCTAGTTTCTAGGCTGCTTAAGTGGGCGGGGCTGGTACTGTCCATCATGCATCACAGCTGTCGCACGAGTTGTAGAGGCAAAAAGTGTACGTGGCATTGATTTTTTGGTGTTTTTGCTTTTTTTTTCTGTAATTTTTTTCCCCACGCGCTAAATCCAGAACGAACAGTAAAACGATGGGAAAGGGGCGAGGGGAGAAAGTAGTAGTTAACTAAACTTTGTCCGGCCGTGGATATACCTGATAATTGACCTTCGCTCAACAACATAAACCTCCAACGCAAGTTTTGCTTTGGAAGGAAGCAAGCAAGCAAGCTGTTTCTGAAAGAAAAATATTTCTAGGAAAGGAAAAAATGATTTTTCACAACAACAGTACCAAAAATAACTTCGCGCGTGAGACTTCATTTGTGTCTGCAAAACACAATTTTCATTGGGATTTATGAGAACGGACAAGAAGTTCGGCAGTTCCGACTATAGGTGGTTTTTCACCTTACCTCATCGCCGCCATGCTGGTGGACGGTAAACAAAAGATCGTTCATTAGCGCGCTTTGTTTGTCCACCAGCATTTGTTCATTTCACCATTGTTATTCGTGTCTCACGAGATTGCATGAAAACCACCTAATATTAAATACTCCAGGAGCCCATCAACACTCCAAAGAATAAATTCTTAAAAGCAAGCCTGCTGTATCTAAGCGAAAACTATAGCGAAAGCAACTCATGAAAATAGTCTCTTTGCGTATAAAATTTTGCCTTTTTCTTTAACGGTGTGTCTGATCAACATCTTCCTTAGTTAAAATGAGGCTTTCGTTCAAAAAATTCAATTGGAGCCCAATAATACAATGCAATCCAATTTGCGATAGACAAGTTCACTCTTTAGTAATGAGTGGAAAGCACAAATAAAAAAATTGACAACAAAAAATCTTTGGCGCTGTCAAACGCGCGGTTGTCAAACTTGTCACTGACCTTTAAGACTGGACTAAAAGCTAATAGTAGTTGAAGTAGGGAAGTAGGAATTCCGAACAGATAAAAAAATTTTTAGGTGATAAAAATATGCTTATATCTACCGTTTTAAGACTAAAATACGTTTAACAATGCTATGTTTAAGTGGTTTTGAACTATATTGTTGGGTAGCCCTGAATTTTTAGACGGAGGGAGTAGTAACCTGGGAGATCGCTATGCGTAGAAGGTGAAGTAACCCGCTTAGGTGGGGTAATTATGATATAATCTCTCATTTCGATTTGATCACGTTTACATCATACTTGGGGTGACCCGCCACCTTCCTGGGCCCCCCAACTCTATGTTAACAGGCCTTAAATTAAAATTAAAGCGAAAATACCATTCACTTCACCTCTTCTGGGGACCGTTCATTTTTCATCGGGGGTGGTGGGGAGGAGGGCAGGCAAAAAATATTGAGTGTAAAGGGGGATCACCAAAGAATTCTTTCTTTTGATAATAGCGAGGAGTAAGCATCGAAAACGTCTCCCAAAAAGTGAATTCGCGCTGCTTCACATCGCTTTTATTGCAGATAATTTAATTTGTCAAATGTTGACTTTTTTGGGGGGGAGTTGAATTCCAAGGTATTGTATCTAACTTCACAAAAAGAAATAGAAACCTTTCCTTCTTTCTCGGTTGTTCTTTTCTTTTTGGAGGCAGGGGTCATCTCAATTATTTTTGAAAAGAAGAAGAGGGGGCCACCCGAAAAATTTTCTGATGAAGAGGGGAAGGGAGGATCATCATATTCTACAGGAGCTGTCATTCAAATCCCACCCCTATCCCATAAAAAATGAACGGTTTTTGTATTTCCCAAACCTCCCACGCAGACGTTCGCAGGACTACGCTAGTAACACGGTGACAATTGCAGAGCTACACCCGTAATCCGCTAAAATAAACCAGCCTGCGTAGCAGGCGTCGAAAAAGGGTAGAGGGTAGGGGATAGGAAGGAAGGGCTGCCGGCGTGGCCCTATTTTTTTGTTCCTGACAGTGATAATGACACCGATGATGAGAGCCTATCATCCGTTTATGAACCAAATACTGATGAAAGTAGTGACGATGACGAAGTTCTCTCTACTGAAAGTGTGAGTCTTTCTTTCCTCTTCTTCCTTTTCCTCTTCTTCTTCTTCTTCTTCTTCTTTTCTTCTTATACTGGTCAGTGGTGGGTGGCGGATAGGGGAGAAAAAGGAAGCACGGAGGCAGGTGACCTCTAAACAACAGGGAAAGGAAAGAAATAGTTTGTCTCATTGATTTTAACATTTTTGTATATCTGGTTCCAGGATGAAGAGGTACTCTCAAGAACAGCTTTAAAAAAGCAGTAAATCCTAAGATGAAAGGTTGGTGGCACTTTGCATTCTTGTTTTTTTTTTCTTTTTCTTTCTTCTTCGGACGGGGTAGAGAGGATACGCGCTAGGAAATTCGGTAAAAGTGGCTTGGAGCAGTCGCCGTTTGCTCAGGTACAATCCAACAATGGATCGACTCGAAGAACGTTTACCTGCTTTACTCTTGTGATTGTTTCTCCTCCTTTAAGTCAATTCTGTATGTAGATCTGGACTGAATCGATTTGGTCGGGAAGTCAGTAAAATGGAAATGAAATGACTGTCTGATATTAAGAAATCATGAAATACTTTCACTACAGATTTGTTTGCAAAAGCTAAAACAACTTGAATCAAGAGCCCTTTTTTCTCACACGGTTACGAAAAAGTGCGCTAACAATTGCCGACAGTCGGACCATAGGTACCCGTTAATGGAAAGATTGTTCATCCCAGAGGACTATTTTTAATTTTTTTAATGATTTTATTACAGTGACGAGTCTACAGAACGCTGATGATGGCGCCTCTAACGTCAGGAATGTAAGTTTTCCCTATTTCAATAGTTCAAAAAAACACAAAACACTTCATTTTTTAGCTTTTAACACTAACAGTAAAAAAAATTCTTTGAAACAGTAAATTTTTTCCAGAAAGAAGCAAAAACGGCTCCAAAAAGGTCAATATTATTTTGTTTAGTATATCAACGTGGTTTCGGCCATTTTACGACAATTCCGGGTTAATTCAGAAGATTTCCTGATGCCACCGACGATTCCCGAGGACTGTCGAAGATTTCCGAAGACTAACGAAGAGGTCCGACCATTGCCAAAGATGTCCGAAAAACCCTCCAAACACTTGACAGTATTTTCTTCGGAAACAGTAAACATTAAAAATTGGCAAATTTAACAGCAAACACTAAAGATTACGGGCAAATAGCAGTAAAAACTAAACCCCATTCAGACCCTCTACCAACAAAGTACAATTATTAATTACCCTAGGCAGATATGCGACATCGTCAAGACAGGGGTGGAAAAGGGGTAATTTTGTCTTCCCGTTTTTTCGTATCTCGACGCATCAGTTTTAACGAACCATGCAAATTCCTATCTTGAAACCTAAAACTTTTTCAGCCAAATTTTATTTTTTGCCTACCATTCTTCCTGCCATAGGGATCAGTCTACAGTTCTAATTTTTAAATTTGATATTGAAGATTTTACTGATCTAAAGATCCGACTGCCCCTCACTGGTTCGTCGTTGTGGTTTTCCTTCACAAGTGTTGCTTTTCTCATGGCCATTAATTCCTGATTGACGCTTCTATTATAGAATCAGAAGGAACAAAAACAATCCTGTGCCCCACTCAGTGAACCCTCAGGATCAGATGTTAAAAAGGTTGGCTGCTTGATATTCATGTCACTAAAGTAAAGCTCTAAGGCTGGTCTCCATAGGGGCCCTGTACCTTAAAAAATTAATTTACATTAATAATTTTCATAAACTATTACATTTAAAGAGCGTAATAAAATACAGTAATAGAATTTAAAGCCTAAAAATAATAAACTATCAAAGTTATGATAAAAAGAAATGTCTTGCTCGGTGCCAGAACGTCTGAATGTTTTCACTCTTCACAATGTTTAAAGGGAGTTTGTTAAAAATTTTTGCGCCAGTAAAAAGAAAGGTCCTTTTCCCAAAAGTCTGTTTAACGTTTGGTAGGGATAGCCTCATACTTTGCCTTGTGGAATAATTGAGTGAATGTTCGAAAATCTAGTGAAAATATAATGAAAAATAACTGGAGGAGCTAATGAGTGATTTTAACCTTGTGGTAAGAGCGTCTGCTGGAAAGAGTCAATGCAAGCTGCTCTATTGCTTGATATGAGCGAGAGCAACGAGTGAAAATCCGTGTAGATCTATTGTGTTGGCGCTGTAGTCGATCTATATCTTGTACATTTCTGTTTGCAAAATAAACAAGACCGTGCCTCAGTACCGATGCAAATATTAGCTGAGGATAATTAATTTGATGCCGCCAGGACTTGCTAAATTTTTAGGAGGTTTATTAACTTTTTAATTTTGTAATCAGCAAAGAGGACCCGAGTGGGACGTCATCGACATGCGTGTACCCAACTCAATGGGCAACTGAGCTCGACACTGGAACATGAAAATAGTGTTTGAAGGATTATTAAGCCTCGGTCTTTTTGTTCATAATCAAATCTGTTTCCAGTTCGAATGACGTCTTTGGAAACGACCATTTTGAAAAAAAAATCTTTCCGAGTCGACCGTAATATTGGCACTCGAATTCCTCAGAGTGTCGCTTTAAGTAACTATAATATTTATTTTTTATCCCTTTAAATCTCTTTGTAGGGAAGACCTCGAAAATATTTGTTTCAAGTGAACGGTCACATGTGTGCTTGTTCTGTAAGAAGCCGCAAAAAAAGGTCAGAAGACACCAAACCAGAAAGCACAAAAATGAATCACAAGTGGCGAAAGCAATGGCCATGGAAACTGCCCAGGAGCAAGATTTGGCATTTGAGAGGCTTCGCCTCTTAGGTGATTACCAACACAACTGCGACGTGTTGGCCCTGGGCGAGGGAGAATTAATCGTGGTGCGAATGCCGAAAAACGTAGAAGAAGGGATTGCCGCTAACTACTTGCCTTGCCCTAGTTGTATGGGTTTTTATGGCCTCAGAGCTCTGGAGGCACCGACAAAATTGCCCCATCGGTCCCAAGAGACTCCCCAAAATGGTCGAGGGTACAGCAAGAAGCTAAGCTTCTATTACCAACAACTGTATTGTCCACCAAAGATGTGAAAAAGAGCTTCCATGATAACGTCCTTTCCTCTATGAACAACGACGAAATATCAGCCATTGCCAGAAAAAGACACCCTAATTGTTAACTTTGGCGCCGCTATCTTTGAAAAAGTCGGGACAAAAACATAAATTATGTTTCCCAAAGAATGCGCCAGTTAGCCAGGCTCCTGCGAACGTTACGGAAAGAAAACGAGGCTGCCAATTTCGACGACTTCATAGACACTGCACGATTTGACGAGCTAGTTGCTGCAGTGAAAGATCTGTGTGGATTCAAGGAAGAATCTCGGTTGAAATAGATGTCCCCTCACTGGCCATAAAGCTTGGGCACAGCATAAAACAGTGTGCGCAAGTTCTTAAATCATCAGCTCTGAGGAAAAAAAGATGAGGCAGCGATAAGAGAATGCCAGAACTTCATTGATCTCTTTGAGGCGGAGTGGAGCATCAAGATTAGCTCTCGGTCCCTCGCCTCACTGGGGTCAAAGAAGCAAAACAAAGTAGAAATTCTGCCACTAGCTGGAGACCTTATCCTGCTGAAAAATCACCTCGAAAAGAAGATGGCAGATCTTTCAAAGATTTTAGTCGAAGGGGAAGAAACGCAAACCGCGGCCGGCTACTGGAGCAGCTTGGCTAAGACGACTCTGGCAAGAATAATCATCTTTAACAAAAGAAGATCAGGGGAGACTGCGACCCTACAAATAGGGCAATTTCAGTGTCGCCCAAATTGGGCCAGCTGCAGCACTGCTTTAAAGGCATCGTTGACAGCCTTGGAAAAGCGTCTTTGTGAGAGGTAAGATGTGAGTCAGTAAAGGCGTATATTAGAGCAAGGGAAGATATATGGAAAGTCCGCGTTTTACGCGCTACTCCATATTTTATACTTAGTTCGCAGTCTCGAGGGGTTTTATTTTCGCCATGTCAGTAGGCGAAGATGAATACAAAGGGCATTAAATTTCGCGATCAAAGTGCGCGAACTTTTCATAACTAATAAGGCAGATGTAATGGAGCTCTGGCTGTTTTTACAACAGTTTTTATACTAGAAACGCGGACGAAAAATATAAAAACATTCCAAGCTCAAAAGGAACAACAAAATGTAACCGTTTCACCCATCCGGATTAATCATGCACTGTGATGCTATAAAGTGTTAGTACTTGTTTTAAAATTAAATCCTTAGGCTCGACCTAATAGAAATCACGGGCAAGCGAGGGAGGACGGTCCCAATCATACTGACACCTGACACAAGGGCAGCGGTAGAGCTGTTGATAGAAAGAAGACCACCAGTTATTCCCAAGTCAAACAAGTACGTTTTTGCAAGAGCTACCAAAGGCTCTTTGGGTCATCTTCGTGGTTGGGACTGCGTCTCAGCCAGCGTTAAGGAGGTAAAGGAAATACAGAAGCCAGAGGCAATTACCAGCACAAAGCTGCGAAAATACATTGCGACCGTGTCACAAACTGCGGCATTGACGGAACTAGACGTAGACTGGCTCGCACGCCACCTTGGACACGATATTAGAGTCCATCGTCAGTTTTATCGCCTTCACGAATCTACAGCAGAGTTAGCTAAGGTCAGCAAACTCCTTTTAGCAGTTGACGCGGGTAATATCGAACAGGTGCAAGGAAAGAGTCTTCTGGATATGTCAGTCGAAGGTATGTAAAAGTATAGCCTGATTTGCGATTGAACGCCTATATGAGGATAAATTATATTTGGCGCATCTAGTCCTCCTATTTCGTTATCCTCCTATTTTCTTATTTTTAATAACCTGGTTTTCTAACAGACCTAAAGAATGGCAATGAAATCAGATAGGTGAATGAAGAAACGGTATAACTAAATACTAGAACACATGCCATGATCTTACTTCTCATTGATGTTCTACATAAGACCACTAATTAGAACAAACGCGGATTAACTTTTCCGAAAAAGTAATTGATCAGAAGAACAATAAAACACACCATGCAAAGTATGTTTGTAACTGTTTTGGTTTATTAAACTGACACTTTGTTCTCTAATTATCTTTAAATATTGACAGATATTCCGGATATTTCAGTCAACCAGGAAAATATCAGTGAGTCTGAAGGTGGGTTCACAGCGTTCACCGCCGCAATAGTCTTAAAGTCTTTCGATACAGTTTTTCGGAGACCATACCGATATTTTTCAATCGCCTTAAAAAGGATTTTATGCTTGTTTGATCGCTATAAAATTTTGCCAGTAACTGGCTGTGGATTGAAGTTTGTCAAAACGCAATTTTAACTAAAGTTGATATTACTATGACAACAATAAAGAAAAAAATTGAAATTGAAAAAAAAGCCGAATTTTGCGCAATCTAGACCTGCTAGTAAAAATCCAACTCTAGGAACTCAAAGTTTGGTGTTTAGAAAATAACCTCCGTGAGAAGTAAAAAAAATTCTGTATGTTTGAATTCAAATAAAACGTAAATATATTTCAAACCTCGTATTTTCAATAGCCGTGATGAGTAACTTCGGAATGCTGCTTAATATCATATTTCGATGCTAGGAAAGTTTGGTGTATTTTCGTTCTTGCGATCTTTTAAAGCAATCTGCTTTCTTACCACCTGTCTAGGCGCCACTTTATCCTAAATCTTGACTTTCAGCGCTTTTTTTAATATCTCTGAAACTACTCGAACGATTTTTTTACAAATCAAATCTCATAATCTTCATAATGAATGTAAGAATGTCTAAAACTTCCATTAAGATTGATTCACTTTAACTTCTTGAAATTTCAAGACAAACCTAGCCTGCGAACCGGCCAAAAATCTGCGTTACAAAATTCACTGTTTTGATCAGTTTTGCTAATGCTTGCTAATTAATGCGCATTGTACATATCTCCACGACAAGTACATTTCAAAAAAGAAAAACATGCGGCTTAATTTTTTACGAAATATTCTGTCACACCGAAATGTACAAGTCAAGGAGGTATGTATCGTGCGTATTAATTAGCATCGCCCTTTTTCACTCTCTTAGAGTCAGGCGCCTCAGGGGACGAGGACACTGCAGATGTCCCGACCAACAAGGCAGTGGTGGAACAACGTAAGAGAAATAGCTAACAAGTGTTTTTTGCTAGATTGATAAAAATTGTTCCTTGCAAACTTAAAATAGAAACTGGGATAGTTGGTCAGCCCTCGTCAAGGAGTTTACGGGAAGTGTTGAAAAATTCAGAAGCTGTTTCTTGTTTCCGATCCCTTGTTTGCTTCCTTTAAGACCTACAAAAAATAGTGTTCTACTTCGTGAAATTGACAATCACTATCACTTATTGTTTCAGAAGTGGCAGATACTTCAGAAGATGGTGGTAAGGAAACCATTTCTGATAGATTAGGTCACATCTTGACGTTTTTCTTACTTTTTATCGTGCCCTAGCCTTTTACGCATGTTTAATCTTATTTCTTAGATACCTGTTTGGGTTCTGTTTCCGCAAGCAAGAAAAGAAAGAGTAATGGTATGTGCGTTTGTTTACAAAAGCCGATTAATTATTATTATTATTGTTAATGATATTTTTTTAGGATAAGTAGCATAGTTTAGAGGGACTATGACATCAATCGATTTGATTATCAGCTATCTAAAACCTTCAATATTTCAGGTTCTGCGGGGCGTTCAACCAGCACCACTGTAACACAGCGAAACAAAAGTGAGTTAATTCTAGATTGCCAATAATTAGAATTTATGAAGAATTTATGATTCCTGTTATTGAACCACAGAATTGCTTTGGATTATATGGACTAAATGACTCATGGATTTCCAGTCTGTTATTCAGTTAATGAATTGTTCTATTTTTCGGTCTATTTTTTGAAAACCATAAAATCCTGTTATTTCAGAACTACCTCGACGATCAGATGTATCATCGGGCATGAACAAGAATGGCAAAAGTAAGTTGGAATAACTTGACTTGACTAGGGCGAAGCCAAATAACTATCAAAACCGAGGATGTGTATTCCGATTCATTGTTCATTAAAAGTATGCTATATAGTGTTTTAAACTTTTTTTTCCTTGTCTTCAAATTTAACTCGTGTTTTACCGCTCAGCAAATTAAATATTCCGATCGAGCCGATAACATGAACAACCCGCACTAATTCAAACTGAGTATTTTTCGTTTTCGTTTTCCTTCAGTGTTTGAGTTACAGGGATTCTACTTAAGCTAACTCACCCATGTGAAATAAGATTGCTCATATTTATACAGGAAGAAGCGAACTCTATTCAGCATCTATGACTAAAGATTTAAATTGGTTAGATAAAATTACTCTTCCAAAGTTCATAAACCTGGATATAACTGATACCGCATCAAGGATTTTTTATGGGGTGGTGCGATCCAACGAGGAGACGGACCGAACGAGGTTGGGGAGGGGGGTGGCTGGGTTGGCCAAGACTGTATATACAGCATAAAAAATCACTCTTACTTAGTATTTGTTAGCCAGAGAAAATAGCTGACCTTTCACTTAGCCACCACTGGTTTCTTGACTTCTGAGATTGATAGTTATTGCAATACAATGTTACAAAATATACAAACTTAATTTACATTTCTTGTCTTTTTGCTTCAAGTAGGTGTGTCAACACAAGTATATTTCAGTTCTAAAACCAACATGTTAGTTGTTCACAGTCCCCTAGTTTCCCTTAAGATCGTCGAGATCGAGCGCTTTGCGCGTACGGGATGCCATCTTGCATGAGTGTCAAAACTACTTTGGGGGCGGGGGCGGTTGGGAAGGAAGCGAGAAAAATATTTTCTATTTTTCACGCCCCCCTCCCACTAGAGCTATAATTCCCGACGGTCGCCCCTTGGTACATCTGAAAATCAAGATGGCCGCCATTTACGGTAAGACGCGCTTTATCTCGACGATCTCACGAAAAAATAGGGGACTGTGAACAGTCTACCGCTAGCGATATGTTAAAGGAGCTCATGTATACTGAACCTTTACATTCGTGTTTAGGAAATACTCGGATACTGTGAGGAATTCTTTCCCATATTTTTGCACCAAATCTACAAACAAATATTTCAATTGATTTAAACGGTCGTCATTTCGCGAGGAAACCAGTAGTGTTGTCGTCAAATGTTGGCTGTTTTCTCAGCATGAGAATGTGGCTCTATTTGTTTATATTCCAATTTGTTTCAGGCTCTGACCAAAGCTCGGTGGAGACAAATAAAAGAAGTAAGTTTGTTGTTCGTTTGCTACACATGCATATAAAAAACGCACAATAACAAAACACAGAGAAAAATTACCGCTAAGGTTTTCCTAGCCTCCCCCGCAGGCTGTACAAGTTATTAAGCAGAATCCAGTTTTAACAGCATTTTACCTCTGGAAGACAATCTTACCTTAGAAAAGTGAAACGCAACTCGTCGAACATCCATGTGACACTGGCTGTCCTTTAACAATAGCAACCTCATTGAAATCTGCATTTGAATTTACTCCAACCAAAAGGAGTTTGAAACCCGCCTTACCCAGCTACACAATTTACTTTGTTTCTCTCGTACTCCCCACCCCCCGCCCCCATCCCTGGCATATTACGGGCCTTCTCCTCGCATCGTTTTGCGATACACGTGTTTCTAGCAAAACCATGTACATTTTGCGTATCTCTTTTCAGGTCTTGTGGTAAAAATCCCATGGGAAAAGGACGAAAAAAGAGCTGTTTTGCAGCATTTGGGAGCGTTTATAACTTCTGAGGTAGCACCTGGGAAGGAGGCCTGTGAAGAGTGTATAAGGAAGAGTGACGGTGCCCTCAGCAGGCGCAATTGGACTGCAATTAAGTACTTCGTAAAAAACGAAATAGACCGAAGAAAAAAAATGTTAAAATAAGGTCACCTTATTTTACTATTTTTCTTTTCTTTTGTCGATTTCGATTGTTCCTCTCTTTATTCGGAGTCATGCTATTCTCGTGTGGGGAGCCCATAGCGTACGCTCGGCTACTTCTTGCACAAGGTTACTCTTGGCCTGTTTTAAATAAGATTTGCCATTTTCAGACCCCCCAAAATTCTTATTAACCTAAATATTTTTATGATTTTCAGCTCCTACGCCAATATGGCAGACTTACCTGTACAAGGGGCACCCAACACGATATGTTTTGCTTTGAATATCTGTTCGCAGAAGCAAATTTTATCAATAACATGCAGGCTTAAGTCCTATGATATGTAGCGATATTGGGTCAGGTCAGGTCTAGTGCCTGCTACTGGTAACATTGTAACCCAGTACCACCTGCCGCATGGTCGGGTTGCCGGCGACTAAACCGACTCCCCCTCCAGCGTTACGCTGGTGAGGCGGGTGGCACGTCACCCTGCGGGACGAAAAACAAGACCCGTAAAAGGGCGGATGAGCTCTATGTAGAGCCAACGGCCATCGTGCAAATTAGTTTTGCGGATATCTCTGGGAGGAAAACCAAAAAGAAATCCGAAATGGAGCCCATAAGGCTAGTACGAATAGTGGAGTAACGTTAAGGGCGCATTCGATTGTCCTAGTATTTTGTTTAAGACCGAGAAATTAAGCCTAGTTAATGTAGCATTACAGTAGTCATAATCACGACAAAAGATCAAAACATAGGTTAAAAGCAAATCCTTAGAAATTGCTTACATTGAAAATCTACTCGAACAGTTCACAATTTTAACTCGATGCTTATATAAAGAGGAACTTTGCTGTTCCTATTACTAATAGTTTTAAGGCCTGTTTACATGGATGTGGGGACCGACTAGGACTGTGAGGTGTTGGCCCCTGGGTGAGGGAGAGTTAATTTTGGTACGAATGCCAACAAAAAAGGAAGAACAGATTGTAGCTGGCATTTTGCCTTTCCCGAGTTGTATGTTTTTTTTTTGTCATGGCTACAGAGCTCTGGAGGCATCAACAGTATTGCCCCTATCGGTCCCAACAGCCCCACCCCCCCTCCCCCAATGGTCAACGGTACAGCAAGAAGCTAAGCTACTATAATCGACAACGGCATTGTCCACTAATGATGTGAAAAAGAGCTTCCGCGACAACGTTCTTGCCTTTATAAACGACGGCATATTTGCTATTGCCAGTAAAGACGCCCTAATTGATTCCTTTGTCGCCGAGCTATCTTCGAAAACGTCGGCACAAAAGGCATAATTTATGTTTCTCAAAGAATACACCAGTAAGCTAAACTCCTCCAGACATTATATAAGAAACGAAAACGAGGCTGTCAATCTCGACGACTACCGTAGTCGTCGAGATTGGCATAGACACTGCACGATTCGACAAGCTACAATCACGGACTAAAGTAGTTGGGAAGGTTGAACAACTCAACAGCATTATTAGACCATTTCAAACGCTCTATATATCTATTTTCAAAAACCGATTATTTGCTCTTTTCCTGAAGACCCCTAGTTCCCTCTATTCAATGTTGGGACAAATAAGAATAATTACGCACAAAAACAAATTTAGTTTTGTCCAACATTGATTCAGGGGGCGAGGGGAACAAGGAGAACAAGGAGAAGGGAGTGATAACTTTCCCAACATTATTGACGATGATTGTAGCTGTCACAGTGAAAGAGCTATGTGAATTCAATGACGAATCTCGATTTGACGTAAATGTCCCCTCACTGGCCTTACAGCTTGGGCACAGCATGAAACAGTGTGCGCAAGTGCTAAAAAAAATCAGCTTTGCGAAAATAATAAAGATGAGACTGCGATAAGAGAATGCCAGCACTTCATTGACCTCTTTGAGGCGGAGTGGACCATAAAAATTAGTTTTCGGTCCCTCACCTCACTGGGATCAAAGAAGCAAACAAAAAAACATAAATTATGTAGAATGCGCCAGTTAGCCAGGCTCCTATAAACGTTACGGAAAAAAAAACGAGGCTGCCAATTTCGACGACTTCATAGACACTGCACGATTTGACGAGCTAGTTGCTGCAGTGAAAGATCTGTGTGGATTCAAGGAAAAATCTCGGTTGGAAATAGATGTCCCCTCACTGGCCTTAAAGCTTGGGCACAGCATAAAACAGTGTGCGCAAGTTCTTAAATCATCAGCTCTGAGGAAAAAAGATGAGGCAGCGATAAGAGAATGCCAGAACTTCATTGAACATGCTGTTGATAGAAAGAAGACCACCAGTTATTCCCAAGTCAAACAAGTACGTTTTTGCAAGAGCTACCAAAGGCTCTTTGGGTCATCTTCGTGGCTGGGACTGCGTCTCAGTCAGCGTTAAGGAAGTAAAGGAAATACAGAAGCCAGAGGCAATTACCAGCACAAAGCTGCGAAAATACATTGCGACCGTGTCACAAACTGCGGCATTGACGGAACTAGACGTACACTGGCTCGCACGGCACCTTGGACACGATATTAGAGTTCATGGTCAGTTTTATCGCCTTCACGAATCTACAGCAGAGTTAGCTAAGGTCAGCAAACTCCTTTTAGCAGTTGACGCGGCTAATATCGAACAGGTGCAAGGAGAGAGTCTTCTTCTTCTTCGCAAGTTCTTAAATCATCAGCTCTGAGGAAAAAAGATGAGGCAGCGATAAGAGAATGCCAGAACTTCATTGAACATCAAGATTACCTTATTATAGGAATTAACGCTCCATGAAATTAAGGTATTAGAAATTAACGCGAATTTAATGGGAAACGACTTTCGAATGAAGAAAATTAACGCGAAAGAAGAGGTAGAGTTTCATAATAAAGGAAATTAACGCGATTAAGAGACAGTTGGTGGTGACAACTGGAACAAATTTATTTCAACACTGGATGCAAAAAAATTCAAAACTGAACAAAACTGAGCTGAAATCACTTCTGACAGCGACAACGACGAAGATGAACTCGAAATATTGTAAACCTTCACCTTAGCTTTTGTGAAAGATGAAAAATAAAGGGTAAATGGAAAGAAAGAAAGCTTGTAGTTAATGTTTTTTAGGTGTCAAGAATTGGGTTAAAATACTGGAAATTAAGAGCGCGGGGAATTAACGCTGCTCTTAATTAACGCCGCGGAAATTAACGCTCAAAAAAATTAACGCGACTTAAATTAACGCGAATTTTAACGATTCGCGTTAATTTCTTGGAGTGTTAATTTCCTATAATAAGGTAGTTCTCGGTCCCTTGTCTGTCTGGGGTCAAAGAAGCAAAACAAAGTAGAAATTCTGCCACCAGCTGGAGACCTAATGTTGCTTAAAAATCACCTCGAAAAAAAGATGGCAGATCTTTCAGAGATTTTGAACGAAGGGGAAGAGACACAAACCGCCGCCGGCCACTGGAGCAGCTTGGCCAAGACGACTCCGGCAATAATAATCACCTTTAACAAAAGAAGATCAGGGGAGACTGCGACCCTACAATTATCGTAAATGTGGACCAAACTGGGCCAGCTGCAGTGGTGCCCTAAAGGCATCGTTGCGCCCCCCCTCCCTTTGGGGAGAAAGAGTTAATCGTGGTACGAATATGCGAACAAAAGAAGAAGAACAACGGATTTTAATCCTTTAAATCTCTTTGTAGGGAAGACCTCGAAAATATGTCTTAAGTGAGCGGTCACATGTGTGCTTGTTCTGTAAGAAGCCTCAAAAAAAGGTCAGAAGACACCAAACCAGACAGTGAATCACAAGTGACAAAAGCAATGACCATGGAAACTGCCCAGGAGTAAGATTTGGCATTTGAGAGGCTTCGCCTCTTAGGTGATTACCAACACAACTGCGACCTGTTGGCCCTGGGTGAGGGAGAATTCCGTCGTGGTGCGAATGCCACAAAAAGTAGAAGGAGGGATTGCGGCTAACTTCTTGCCTTGCCCTAGTTGTATGTGTTTTTTCATGGCGTCAGAGCTCTGGAGGCACCGACAAAATTGTCCCCATCGGTCCCAAGAGAGACTCCCCCAAAGTGGTCGAGAGTACAGCAAGAAGCTAAACTTCTATTACCAACAACAATATTGTCCACCAAGATGTGAAAAAGAGCTTCCATGACAACGCCCTTTCCTCTATGAAAAACGACGAAATATCAGCCATCGCCAGAAAAGACACCCTAATTGTTAACTTTGGCGCCGCTATCTTTGAAAAAGTCGGGACAAAAAACATAAATTATGTTTCCCAAAGAATGCGCCAGTTAGCCAGGCTCCTCCAAACGTTACGGAAAGAAAACGAGGCTGCCAATTTCGATGACTTCATAGACACTGCACGATTTGACGAGCTAGTTGCTGCAGTGAAAGATCTGTGTGGATTCAAGGAAAAATCTCGGTTGGAAATAGATGTCCCCTCACTGGCCTTAAAGCTTGGGCACAGCATAAAACAGTGTGCGCAAGTTCTTAAATCATCAGCTCTGAGGAAAAAAGATGAGGCAGCGATAAGAGAATGCCAGAACTTCATTGAACATCAAGATTACCTTATTATAGGAATTAACGCTCCATGAAATTAAGGTATTAGAAATTAACGCGAATTTAATGGGAAACGACTTTCGAATGAAGAAAATTAACGCGAAAGAGGAGGTAGAGTTTCATAATAAAGGAAATTAACGCGATTAAGAGACAGTTGGTGGTGACAACTGGAACAAATTTATTTCAACACTGGATGCAAAAAAATTCAAAACTGAACAAAACTGAGCTGAAATCACTTCTGACAGCGACAACGATGAAGATGAACTCGAAATATTGTAAACCTTCACCTTAGCTTTTGTGAAAGATGAAAAATAAAGGGTAAATGGAAAGAAAGAAAGCTTGTAGTTAATGTTTTTTAGGTGTCAAGAATTGGGTTAAAATACTGGAAATTAAGAGCGCGGAAATTAACGCTGCTCTTAATTAACGCCGCGGAAATTAACGCTCAAAAAAATTAACGCGACTTAAATTAACGCGAATTTTAACGATTCGCGTTAATTTCTTGGAGTGTTAATTTCCTATAATAAGGTAGTTCTCGGTCCCTTGTCTGTCTGGGGTCAAAGAAGCAAAACAAAGTAGAAATTCTGCCACCAGCTGGAGACCTAATGTTGCTTAAAAATCACCTCAAAAAAAAGATGGCAGATCTTTCAGAGATTTTGAACGAAGGGGAAGAGACACAAACCGCCGCCGACCACTGGAGCAGCTTGGCCAAGACGACTATGGCAAGAATAATCATCTTTAACAAAAGAAGATCAGGGGAGACTGCGACCCTACAATTATCGTAAATGTGGACTAGACTAGGCCAGCTGCAGTGGTGCCCTAAAGGCATCGTTGCGCCCCCCTCCCTTTGGGGAGAAAGAGTTAATCGTGGTACGAATATGCGAACAAAAGAAGAAGAACAACGGATTTTATTCCTTTAAATCTCTTTGTAGGGAAGACCTCGAAAATATGTCTTAAGTGAGCGGTCACATGTGTGCTTGTTCTGTAAGAAGCCTCAAAAAAAGGTCAGAAGACACCAAACCAGACAGTGAATCACAAGTGACAAAAGCAATGACCATGGAAACTGCCCAGGAGTAAGATTTGGCATTTGAGAAGCTTCGCCTCTTAGGTGATTACCAACACAACTGCGACCTGTTGGCCCTGGGTGAGGGAGAATTCCGTCGTGGTGCGAATGCCACAAAAAGTAGAAGGAGGGATTGCGGCTAACTTCTTGCCTTGCCCTAGTTGTATTAACCCGCGTGCAGACGATAACTAAACTCTGATTAGTACCGTCTGCGAAGCAGCGCAGAGATCCTTGTTCTGGACCCCCAACGGACTCAACGAATTACCGGAAGTGCGTTTCGAATTCCCCTTCAACCTGATTGGTGATCACGACAAACAAAACAAAGGCCTTTTTTAACTGGCCAATCGTGGCGCGTACTCAAATCTGGGTACACAGCTGGAAGTCCAGAACAAGGATTTCGGCGCTGTTTCGCAGACGGAGTTAACCAGAGTTTAATTTCGTCTGCGCGCAGGCTATAGTTGTATGTATTTTTTCATGGCGTCAGAGCTCTGGAGGCACAGACAGTATGACCCCTATCGGTCACAAGAGCCCCCCCCCCCCAAAAAAAAAGAAATGGTCAACGGTACAGCAAGAAGCTAAGCTATCATTATCGATAACAGTAGTCTACTAATGATGTGGAAAAGAACTTCCAGGAAAACGTTTTTGTGAGTGCAAACATCAGCTAAAAGAAAAAGCTACTGAAGAGGGTTTCTCTTACTTTACTTTCACCTCCCTCGGGTTTCCCACCTTCAAGTAAACAGGTGCTTAGTTTGTTGGTGTGATTTGTTATGTTTATGCGAATTATACTCTTGAGCCTGCGACCGCATACGTATTTCCGGTCGTCTCGTCTCCTATTTTTCGGAAGGAGAGAAGCGACGCGGACCAGAAATACGTCTTCAGTCGCAATTTTTAATGTTCGTCTTATTCGTTCTTGTAATCAGACTGCAATTACGCACCTTTGCGTCACAGCAGAGTTTTGCTTCTAGTAACCTGTTTAACCTAGTTGGTTGTCCAATTTCTTATTACAGATCATCAGCCGTAAATGATCTAATAGATACCCGGTAGTTTTAACTTTATTTTAAGCGTCCAAAATAGGGCGCTAACCGTAATGGAGAGAGGCTTTTATTGTCATTTCAAATAATATTCTCTCGGCGAAAATATTAATAGAGTTTGCAAAGAGAGGAATTTTATGCAGCTCATTGATACTTCTACGCCGTCCAGATCATATCGGTTTTTTTAGTTTCACCTTCGATGTTAGAACCCTAATTCAAGATCATTGTGCTATTGTCGTTAGTCAATCGTTACTTTGGACTTGACACTGACCACGATGCACCACGATGCAATGCACAAACCCTTATTTATCAAGCAAAAAAACTGCTCCTTTTTGATGATTGCTCACACCCTGCAAGCAGAGGTTTGTCTCTTGCATGACTTACGAAGTCTTAAACGTTAAAAGCCTTGAAGAGAGAAACCTCTGCTAGCATAAAGAAGACAGGGGCATCTAATACAAAGCTAAAGGCGGAAGCGAAGCGTTTATTAGACAAGAGGCTTTTTTTTATAGGGTGCGTCAATTGGATCAGCTACGGTATTTATTTAGTGATTGAGTATTTAAATTTAAAAAAAATCATTTGAAAAGGTTTACATTACGCGACAGCCCGGCTTATATAAAAAGTTGATATGATTGATATGTATTACCCTCTAAACAATCAAATAAATACACCTTATTCGATGGTTTAGCATATAATACGTGCGGATATTTTGCGAGTTGCGCAGTAAAAATACGAGCAATGAGCAAACTGTCCGTTCATATTATATGCTAAACCATCGAATAAGAGGTTTATTATTCCACTACAAAAAAACTTGTTATTTTGCAATTGATTTCTATTTTTTTGGTAAGAGTCAATTCGGAAACATCCTGATTCCGTCTGTGAGAATGACGTTAACAGTGTGCAAACTGTTCGCGCGTGTTATATGCCAAACCATTGAATGAGAGGTTAATTATTTTATTGCAAACGAAAAAATGTTATTTTTGCTTCTATTTTCTAGTAAGAGTATCCAAAACATCCTGATTCTGTCAGTCATAGTTGCTCCTTTTGCATCGGCCGGTATTCGCCCTTTTGTAAACCGGTTAAACCAGGACACTACAGTGTATTACGGCCTCGTATTTTGAGCTTTCTCTTGACCTTGTATGGTAAAATGACATAATAGTGGAATAATAAAGAAAGGTATATTTTATATTTATCATTCATATTGTTAATTTAGTGGCCCACCAGAACGTACCGTTTACGTGTTCAGAAACCCAATAAACAACGATTTAAAAACGTGTTTTGCGTTTCTTCTTTTACGCCAGCAGACAGACAGACAGACAGCTGGGTATAACGATAAAGTCGCAATTAAGTCGCAGAACTGGCGAAGAGGTTTAAGATTACATTTTACGCACATCGATCTGATTCCAAAGCTTAATAGTCCGGTACTATAAAGTTCTTTGTCCGGGGACTGTTTTTTACCATTTTGCCATAAAATATAACTGTCTGGACAACCGCACGGAGGCGTTTGCTATGCAGGCTAGTAGTGCAGAAAGGAAAGGTTATCCGTTATAGTGTGAATACGTATCCGATATGTGACTCACCACTTTATCGATTGGCACACGTTACAGATGATTGGCCGAAATCACCGTTCTTAGAACAGAAACCCTAGTGTGTTGGAGTTCATTTTGGTCCCAGCCGAAGAGACCTTAGTGGTTTGCTTCTCAGGAGCGCCTATTATATCATGACACTTTAAGTGGTTCGACTCTATTTAAAATAGACGAAAATTAAATGGTACGCGATTATTAAAGGTGCGGTCCTCGTAATGAAGGTGTGTAAACACGTTACCCGCAGAATGGCCTAGTCAGTAAACTTTTCCAAGCAAAAATTTTGAGGGGAGCTTTTAAAAATTAAAGTAATTTTGAATTGTAGTAATGATGGCTTATTGTATTACTTATCGGTCCTCGCAACCTCTATGTAGAACAAACCAGATTTTTGGTCCTCGTAAACCAGTGTGTGTATGAGGCAAAACATTTAGAAGGGCGTTGTCGCTAATATCACGGTAGATTATTAAAAGGTTAATGTCAAAGCTACCAACTGATAATAGAGGAGGTCAATAGCGAACGGATTTTAGGTGGTCCCCGTAGAGTCGGTTTGGGAACCGGTACCCACAAACCACCAAAGGTGGGTATGGCTGTGTATGGCTGTGTATGGCTATGTATGGCTATGTAGGGCTATGTATGGCTATGTAGGGCTATGTATGGTTATGTAGGGCTAGGTATGGTTATGTAGGGCTGTGTAGGGCTGTGTAGGGCTGTGTATGGCTATATAGGGCTGTGTAGGGCTATGTAGGGCTATGTATGGCTATGTAGGGCTATGTATGGCTATGTAGGGCTATGTATGGCTATGTAGGGCTATGTATGGCTGTGTATGGCTGTGTATGGCTCTGTATGGTTATGTATGGCTATGTAGGGCTATGTATGGTTATGTAGGGCTATGTATGGCTGTGTATGGCTGTGTAAGGCTATGTATGGCTATGTAGGGCTATGTATGGCTATGTATGGCTATGTATGGTTATGTAGGGCTATGTATGGTTATGTAGGGCTATGTATGGCTGTGTAGGGCTGTGTATGGCTATGTAGGGCTGTGTAGGGCTATATAGGGCTATGTATGGCTATGTAGGGCTGTGTATGGCTATGTAGGGCTATGTAGGGCTGTGTATGGCTGTGTAGGGCTGTGTATGGCTATGTAGGGCTATGTATGGCTATGTAGGGCTATGTAGGGCTATGTATGGTTATGTAGGGCTGTGTATGGCTATGTATGGCTATGTAGGGCTGTGTATGGCTGTGTAGGGCTATGTATGGTTATGTAGGGCTATGTATGGTTATGTAGGGCTATGTATGGCTGTGTA